TTTAAATAATTGTCCTAATGGACTAGGAAATTAATTATGATAAATATCCAAGACTGAAGTGAAGTTAACTGCTTAGTGTATATAGTATATAGGTTTGATTCTTTAGGCTAGGAGAAACGAAATAGAAGAAAGTCCTGTTTTATTTTGTGTTTTAAAGAGAACAGAAAAGGTACAGGAAACTGGGAGGATCCTGCTGCCTCAGGGTGCATGTGTCCTGTAAGAGCTGAAAGCCTGTACCTGACAGGTTCTTTTACACCAGGCCGGGTAGGGCTGCTTCTCTAGCACTAACTACTGCTAACTCCCAAGTCCCCACAGGGTTCGTAAGAAGTAGGTGCACTATAATCTCCATTTTAAAGATTTGGAGATTGCGCACAGAGTGTGTAAGTCTTAATCTGCACAAGACCGCCCACGTGGCAAATGGCAGAAGCAGGACTTGCTCATGGCAGCCTGGCTCCAGGGGGAATACTTTTGATCGCTGTACCACACACTCACCACACACACTCACATAACACACCCAGAGCAGGTGCTCTACCAATGTTTCTTCAATCAATGAATGTTGCCCCCTGACCTATTTTCAGCAGCTTCTATCACCCATGTGGGAATTGGAACCTTCTCAATGGCAGTCAGATCCCTGGTCCTTTAAAGATATCTGGGAATGAAAGATGGTGGGGAGAGGGGCCAGAGAGGCCCACTAGACCCAGGCGATGTTCAGGCTGAACTGGCTCCTGCCGGCGTGGTGCTTGCTGTCTGGCCTACAAATGTTTGGCCTCCACTAGGCCTGTAGACAAGTCTGACAAGATTGAAGAGGGAGAATAACTGTCAGTGCCCATCTTCCGCCCTTTGAGAAGCTTCTGACCCGGCAACGTGTGCTCCCCACAGAGGACCAGCAGCTGGCAGCCCCTTCCGGCACCGGCCTCTGTCTGCGAGGAAAAGAAATGTCACTTGGACGCAGAAGCACCATTTACACTTAATATTCCCCAAATCACTTTCGAAGCTTATCTACTTTTCCGGCAATTTTGTGAGAGATATCACTGCTTATTTTGTGTTACAAGCTACTCACAATTGGCGGTTTTTTTTTTTTTACAAGAGATCATAAGGTGAGGGACAGGATCGCCACCACTGTCTGTCTCCAAAGGTTTTCGCACATGTATATCTATATATAGATCTGCACGAGGAGAGGAAATAGACCAAGTTGACCTTTAATCCTTTCTTCCTAAAATTTCCCCGTGTCTGTGTCGTAGCTCTGATCTTAAATCTTATTTGGCAAGTCAGAGTGTGCTAGTTTATCAAAGAGATGAAAAAATGGACCCTTTTGCCTTCTGAATTTCAATGAAAGAGGAGTATTTGTCTTCAGTATTGATCTATTCCATTGAGTAGTTCTTGTGATGATTACTACTTTCCTATATTTATAGAGAATCAGCACTCCATAAATGTCAAAAGGCGCTTTGCTTTACGTAAGTGTCAGTGTTCTAACATCTTACAAAGTTAGCAATTATCATGAGAACCATGTGTGGGAAGTGGAAAATAAATAATCACCAAGGGAAGTAAATTTTTGGGGGTACAACTGGGAAACAAAAAAATGTTCTTCATTAACTATCTCATTTTGATCCCATACCCCTGACTGCAGAGTCATAGGGATATGTGGACTTCTGCTCTTGTTCTACTTGGTTCTCTTCATCAAAGGTCCTCTTGTGGGGCCTGACTATGAAGTGGGCTAAATAAAAATCTCTTGCAATGAGGACTGTTCATTCTGGGATGGGGAAAAATTACATTTCGGTCATGAGAATCAGAAAGGACAAACCTCGGAGTCCTAGGTAATTATTGTGTTAAAATTGATGAAGAAACTTCTGTGTACTTTCCTGACTATAAGTGAGCACTTCAGACAATTTTTAAAATTGGGGATGGAGAGTTTCTAAATAAGGCTATGAGCTGTCCTGACCATGTAAACTCCCCTGAACTGACCAGACCTTTCATGTCCTATACACATAATCTGTGCCTGTGGGGTTTTTCTTGGTCCCCAGTAAGACCTTTTGAAGGGTTGTCATAGCAACACTGACCATGGATAATAAAGCAAGGAGATGAGGTGGCCTCCACTGGCCTCCAGGCTTTGTCGGTTCCCACTGTCCTGGGCTGAAATGGCTTGTTCCGAGATACCATTTCAGTACAGCAAAAAAATGCTCTATGCTGGGGATTCCTGGAAAAGCCATAGCTTGTTTGCAAAATGACCTGGTGGCATAAGCCTCCCTCGCTGTCCTCTGTACCCACCACGCGTACTGTTCAATGCTCAGTCTGCAGCACCGACACTGCCATTCTCTGCTGAGTTATTCTGGACCATGTGCTGATGGAATGACGCTGAGCCGGGGCTTGTCATGTCTGCTTGGTAGCTGTAGATGGAACAGGCAGCTTCTGAGCATTGTGTGGGAGCCTTGAGCAGTTTTTTTGTTCAGCCTGCCAGCGAAGTTTGAGATGTCCTGGGTGCCTCTCAGGAGGCTGCTGTCACCTACACATGGTTGTTATACATGTTACGGCTCCTGAATTTAACGATTGTGTTAAATGATGTCGCTCTCATCATTCAGAGAGGTGTTTCGCAAAGCCCTGTGAATTTCAGGACACTGTAATGGAATGATGATCCCATCTGTCTTTCTGGCGTAGGGTTGTGCTTCAAGTTTTCTGTGTGTAGGGTCCCGGGCTGTCCTATTTATATTGATTGACTTTTCAATGGTTGAAAAATGTTCTTAAAAAAAAAAATTTTTTTTTTTTTTTTTGGTCCCTGTGTGAATTTTCAGGGTCTGAATTCTGTTATTGTGAAAAAGTCTTCAGGATTTCTTTCAGAGTTGAATTTCTCTTAGTCTGTCTGCCCGAGTTTTCACCTGCCTCTGTCTTTTCCATACTTTTTATGCTTTCTCACATTGACCCTATAGGAGCATACCAGGCACCTCGTAAGTTGTGCCTGTGTTGAATTTTAGGAGGAGCAAAGAGAAAGCACAGTTTGGATGAAAGCTGTTTTAATACGCCGTGTTTACGCTGAAGTCTTTCAAAGGTTATGGCCTTATGTTAGGAAAGTAGAATAGAGCTGACCCTATCCTGCTGATAACTGGCTATTCCCTGTTTGAAACCAAGAGCAGATGGACAAGTGACCGGTGAAGTGTGTGGATGAGCACATTTTTACAGGCTGATCTGATAATTAAGAGCACTCCTATATGGGAAAAAATGTCTGTAGTTGCTGTGGCGAGCTAGCAAAAGAAGAGGGCAGTGATTCCCTCTCTGAAATAAGCTGTTTCTATGTTTGGGTATTTCCATGACATTTATTGCTGTGATTATTTTAAATACCCTCATGTAGAGCGAACAGAGAATGGATTTCGCCTTTCATCCCAATAACTCTGCTGCTATGTGGTCCCTGATTTTGATCAGCCGAGGTAGTGCCATGTGAGGGAGCAATGTGATAATAAATGAGAAGGCAGAAAAGATAAACTGCCCTGTCCTGCCCACTCACCTCCATCCTTTAAACACAGATTGACTCTGGGACATGAAAGGACTGCCAAGTAGTTAACCCGCACAAACAGCAGCGGGGCTGCCGCGGATGAACTGTCCTTTGATGGAAGCATCTCAGAGCCTCCTTAATTATATCCCCGAGGATTTGCATATCTTAACAGCCAAAATGGCCAGAGTGTGACGGCCATGTGGAAAAGGAGTGAGAAGGATCAGAAATTCGAGTAAATGACTCGGGGGACGTGGCTCTCAGAACTCTGACAAAAGGTGGAGAGGAAATCTGAACATGATAGGAAGTAAATCACAAAGGATCTTGATATTGTTTCAGATTCCTCACTTTTCTTCCAAACCTGCAAGGCCCCACATAACTCAGCACTGAACTTTTGTAATTGAAAAGATTTTAGGATAAAATGTTCACATTTCTACTTTCCCCCTGGGGAAAAATGTCACACAGAAAGACTCCAGTTAATTGTCTATACTACTGACTTATTGTTCCAAATGGCTAAGTTGAAAGATATAAAATATCATTATACCTCAAGTTTAGGGCTCTGTAATGATAGAATAAGCCATGTGGGCTTGTTTTCTATTTAAAAGATGCTGGAGAAAAACAAAATAGCACGGTGATACTATAAAATTCTAAAATGTCACCTGGCACGCAGTTGGTGCTCAGTAATTATGTGAATCAAAGGGAATGTGGACTCTGTTACTGGACCCTGTAACTGGGACATTTCAGTGCAGTTCAGTTATGTTTCAGTTTTCTTCAGCAGAGATTTACTACCAATTATTTGCAAGGCACTGGGATAGGAGCTGCTGAGAATAAGAAGATAAGAGCAATTGTTATTGTTGGTGGTGGAGATCACTGTTAACATGAAGACCTGTAAAGAAAAATAATATTTATAAAACAGGTGATATTACTTTCACAAGAGAGCTACTTTAAAAGTACACAGATGTATGACTATTACTTCCAAAGTACAGGTTGTACAGACAACCGAGCGGTAGGATTCACTGGTAGTGCTGATTCACTTAACACAATGAAGGTCCTATAAAGTACGGTGTATATTTGTAGCTCAGAATAAGTGCAAAATAGTTTTACTGAACCTTCTTCTATTAAAGACATTGCATCTAGTCTAATGGGGTGAACAGAGCTATTTTTGCCCCAACTGACCCGTGTTCTGATCCTACTTGCACTAATTGTTAGCTTTGTGAAAACTGGTAAATCTCTCTGATTCTCAATTCTTTTATCTCTAAAGTAGAAATAATACTCCTATTAATATACTAATTTGCAGGCATGTTGTGAGGATTAAGAGAGATAATACACATAATATCCTTAGTACAGGATCTGGCATAGGAGACCCTCCACGAAGATCTTTCTGGCTTTCTGTCACTGAGTAAGCTTACGCAGGTCAATCTATTTTTGCCTGATACTTTCACCTTCACCACTCTGTGGAAAAGGGTAGTAATCCCTTCCTTGGTGGTTTGCTTTTTAATAGAATTGAAGAAGTAAGAAAAGAAAATTAAGGGTGTACATCTGATGCATGTTTCCCAAGATGGAGGGAATCTGGTGCATTAAATGGTCTGTGTTTCCAAGACACCATGGACATTCAGAGGATTATTTCAAGCCTCTTTAACACATGTGAACCTCATTTACTGGTAAGTTAGAATTGAAAGTAGCCAGCTTGTAATTATGAATGTTTGACTAATAAATATTTTAAGAACATATCTTAAATCTCTCATTTTCTTCAATACTTGGAGTTTTTTGTTGTTGTTGTTAAAATTGAGTAGATTATAACTATAGCCAGATGTGGTGGGGGCCTACATATCTTAGCATCTCCCTAACCCCTCAGAGTTTGAGGTTCTATCAGAGGTTAAGTTAATTATAGTGTGTACATTTTCTTCTTAAACTCCGGAGTTTCTAGTTTCTCTATCTTTTCTGAAGGGTTTCTAGAAGCACAGATTTTCCCTTTGTCTGCAATATTTTCTTCATGCCTTAAATCTCCTTGCTCAATAAATATTTGCTCATGTGCTAAAAAGTCCAGAAAAGTCTTTATCAAATAAAATCCCCTACTTGTAAAAGTTCAATCTTAATTTTGGTTACTAAAGTATTACTAATTATGGAAATACTGGTGTTAACTCTCTGGGTGTGTCAGAAAGACACCAAATGTTATACTTGGAACAGTCACAGCAATAAAGATCTTAAAAACCTGACAATTACCCAAGTGATGATACTTAAGTATAATATTTTCCTATGTTAAATATGGACATACTTGTTTTCATTCCTTCATTTCTTCATTCGTTCCTTCGTCCCTTCCTTCCTTTCTTTATTTCTTTCTCTCATAAGTCATCTCATGAAAGGGAGAAAATAGACTTTCACAGTGGTTGATTTTTCAAGGTTCACTGCATTGTTTGCTCTCAGTATTTTCCTCTATATTATTCACTTCTGATAGCTATATCTCATATTGGAATAGAATCACAAACAAGTACAAAGTATATGGAATCCATCTTATTTTTAAGCCATCCTCTCTTTTCAGAGGTGCACTATAAATGGATATTCTTCACTTCATGATCTAACACATACTTAATGAGTATTTGTGATATGCCAATACTGGGCTAGTTGTGAGGAATACAGTGATGCATGATAGAGACGTACAGGTGCAACTCATGGCTGTGAAGCCAAAGTTTCCTGTGTCCAGTGCAATTCATACCCAGTCAGTGTGTTTGCCCAGGTACATTTGCCTTCTTAGAAGAGTACTGATTAGGAGACCTGCTGGTTAAATAGATCCCAGTTTGCATTTCCCTAAAACATCAACAATGAGGAAGATATTTATAATTCTTGAGGTTCCAGCATGGATTAACAGAGGAATTATTTTATTCATTCACATCTGAAATATTTTAAGCCATTTATACTCCTCTGGGTACAAAGTCATTTACACTTCTCAGTTGTTAGAAGGACTGACCAGGCTGATGACAACTGCTCCATGCCCCCAGAGAGGGGCATTAAGAGCCACACTTGAGTCAGGAGAGTCTGGGAAGTTGGTGGAATCTGTTGTCTTCCAGGCATTTTTAATAAATGATAAAAATAACCTTTTCGATATTTAAATCATTTTGCTGCCAAGGGCATTTAATCAGGCCCATTGCCAAATGCTAATTAATGATGCAAGTGGAGGATTTTATTTAAATTTGTTATACTAATATGTTGAAATAGAAATAGAAAATGCCAGTTGAGAGGAGCTTGTCTAAGGGTGGGATGTGTAAGGTGAATGAACAAACATCAAACTTTAAAACAATAGGCCTGCTGTGATACAGAGGTAATTGAAATAGAAACCTTGCAAAGAAGATAATTTATATGTAAAGATCTTTTTATAATTTTTGTTGTTTATTTTTTTGAGGGAGGGTCTCCCTTTGTAGTTTAGGCTGGACCTGAACTCATGATGTAGCCCAGGTTGGCCTCAAACTCACGGCAATGTTCCTGCCTCAGCCTCCCTGACTTCTGGAATTATAGGAGAAAGTCACCATGCCCAGCTCCTTTTTGCAAAATATTAAAGCACTCAAGCAACTGGAAACTCTATAAAATAATGAAGGTTATGTTAGGTTATCACATATTAAATAGAATGAATTTGACTTGGTAGTGAGACAAGTTTCTGCTAGCTGTGTGGTATAAAGCAAGCCCCTTTTGTCATGAATACAGATATGAGTTGCTTAATGACAGAGATACATTCTGAGAAAAATGTCATTAGGTGATTTTGTTGTTTAGTGAACATCATAGAGTATTTTTATACAAATCTAGATGGTGGAGACCAATTATTTGACACAGCATTGGATGCAATCAAAGCACAGTTACACATAAGATATCTCAGGGCCTAGTGTGGTGGCACATGCCAGTAGTCATAGCACCCTGGGATGCTGAGGCAGGAAGATTGCAAATTGGAACCCAGCCTGCGCCATTTAGCAAGACCATGTCTCAAAATAAAAATAACAAAGGGCTGAGGATGTAGCTCAATGCAAGGGCCCTGGGTTCAATCCCCAGCACCAGGAAAAAAAAAAAAAGAAAGAAAAAAAAAGTCTGAGACTCATACGGTTTTTTCCCCTCATTGAGTTTATTGGTACATTTTAGGTATACAGTACAGTTAAATTCATCATTGGGAACTTGTACCTTTATATGACAGATTTTGGTTCTCATTTTTCCCCACACCTTGCCCTTCCTTCAACCCCTCCTCCCTAGGCTATTTACAAAAACTTTATTTCCATTTTTTCATTTTCTTATATTGTTTTCTTTTCCCTTATTTCCTTTCCCCTACCCTTCCACTTCCCCTACACCTTTAGCCCTTTTCTTCCTATTACACATGGTCAATTATACCATTAAGATCTCATTTGCAATATTTCTCTGGTGTGAAAAACTTAACATACTGTTTTATAGTAAACATTTTTTAATAAGTAGAAAGACTACAGTCTAAAATAATGTTAAAAGCATGGTATAATAGATACCTGAACCAGCAACATAGTTATTTCTTATCATTACCAACTATTATTTATTGTACATAACTCATATGCTATACCTTTGTGTGGCTGGTGGTGCAGTAGGTCGGTCTCCACGATTGTCACCTCAAACATGGGGTAATACGCTGCTCTGCAGCAGGTACATCGGTGACACCTGGCAATAGGAATCTGTCAGCACCATAAAAAGCTTCTGAGATCCTTCTTCCTCATTGATTGAAGCATTATTATGAGGCACATGACTGTTATTTGTTTATTCCAGGTGGTGTCAGTCCTGAGTTTATTTCCTAGCAGCGGCTAACCCTAACACTACTGATTTGCAAAGAAAATTCATCGTAAGGACACCTATAATTAATTAGATTAATAACATTCAGTGGAGCAATGATATACTGCTAAATCCAGGTATGTCTGGGATATTTAAGGCTTTTTTTTTTTGTACTGGGGATTGAACTCAGGACCTTGCACTTGCGAGGCAGAGTATTTATGCAACATAATTTCCCCTCGTTTTCCTGACAGCTTTCCTGTGAATTGAAATCAGTTTGTTAGCTCAGGGCAGGTGATCTGCCTAAAGGTAAGGAGGGAGAAGGGGTGGGGCAGGCACACACTCATTCTTACTGGATTTGAGCAAAATGGGAAGGTTGTTTTTTCTCATGTTTGTGAAAAAATTGAACCTGAGGACTTCTCCACTATAGTCCAGCCACTAATTTAATGAAATTAGTAATTATGGTTAGAGAAGCAAGCTCTCTGAGTCAAGTTGTTGTTTATAGTGATTGGTTGGATGGGACCCGCACAGTGAGTGGAACCTGTAGGTGGATGACACATTGAGCAAGACTGTATGATTTAAACTTCTCCCTTCTGATTGCTTTGAGATCTCCCAATTCAGGGTCAGTGTTAAATTCTCTTCCTCTGGGTCATTCCTCTGTCATCTTAGAAACATCTTGTTGCAGTCCACCTAGAATTGATGATTCACATTGCCGAGGAAAGACAAGGAATAAATTTAGAAAGCAGGGTTCAGTTGCCTGAATCATGGGACCTTTATGGTATGTCTTGTTTTGTAGTTGTACATGCAGGGAAGGCAGAGATGATGCCTGTGCATTTCCTGCTTCTTTGCCCAATGGCTACCTTAGGAAAGTTACGCGGTAAATATTTGCTCCCGAGAGAGCAGATGAGCACAGTGGGTGGCACTAGTGGCCAGTATCATCAAAAAGACAGTGACCCCAGTGTGTCATTGTCTCTGTGGAGCAAATTTCCCTGTTCCTCATACTTCACTGTGGCTCTAATTCTGGAAGAGAACTTCACTGCATCTCACTGAGTGAAACATTAACTTTGCCATGCATCCAAATGGTATAAACATCTGGGTGTGCTCAAGATAGACACACTCAAATCCACATTACCAAATGACTATAAAATGCCTGACAAGGCTTTTCAGTTTCCTCTCACTTACAGAAGATCTCAGTCAATGTGAGGGTTCTTGTAAGTGCCAGGTGATATAACTTTCTTGGCATCATAAAGGAATTGAATTTTTAGTTGCTTTCCTTAAGACTTCACATCTTCTACCTGGAACCATAGGGATGAAATAGATCTCATTCCTTTACAGGGGAGGACAGTGGGGCTTAGAGAGCTTAAAGGACTTGCTCAAGGTCACTCAGCTTGCTATTGGCAGAGTGACCCAGGTCTCTGCACTCTGGCCACCCCCTCCTGAATTCAATGTAATACACAGATGGCGGCACCAACTGACCATCAGTTACAGACTGAACTCAAAATTTTTGCAGTTTTGTAGTAAGCTCTATATATCATCTTAAGCTATTTTGATCTTCATATATCAAGCCTTGGGAGCCTCTGTCATCTAGGCTATTTCACAGATGAGGAGACTGTATGATATATAAGTTAAAATAGTTTGCTTGGGGTTAGGTGACAACTAAGCCCATGTAGAAATGATAGTTACCACCACTGGAACTTATGTTTTGACATTTAGTTCTGGCAAAGAAAAAGCATTTATTTTTCTCTGCTCTTGCTTGGCTGGCTTCCCTTGGGAGCAATAACAGACATTTATAATGAAAACTGTGACTGTGAATACTCATCCATCTGTGGGTGCAGAACAAGGCGTGGTGAAATCAGTAACCCAGAGTTCTCGGTTCTGACCCTTCCTGCTTCCTCAGGGCATTGAGCCCTGATGCCAAGACTGTGCCAGGTGTGTCAGGAGGTCATAAGCGATGCCTAGCATGGGCTGATAGTTGAATTTTCATCTTTAGAAATTAAGCAACATTAGACTTCTCCTTGCTTTCTGCAGTGACCTGATTCTCAGCCCTAAAATCTACTCTGGAGCCTTTCCAGTAACATTTGTAAGAGTGACAGCTTTGGGGCCACTGATCCTTATACCAGGTTCCATCGCTTGATTCTTCCAGTGTTGCCCATCTTTAGATTTCCGAGTGGCCTTGGGTTCTGCCCAGAAATGGAAAGTGGCTCTATTTCTTTGCTCCTCTTTGTCACGTGGACCCTAAAGCATCACCACTTGGGCATTAGGGCTCAGACAGTCTCTTTAGAAAACAGCTCTTTCCAATTCTGCCCCAATTCTTCCCTGTCTTGTAAACAATATAAATTCAAGTGTCAGGGAAGGGATGTGTCTGTGCCAATTAGGACTGCTAGAATGAAGTACCACAGATTGGGTGGATTAAACAACAAACATGTACTTTTCACAATGCTGCCACTTCAAGTTCAAGTTCAGTGTGGCAGCATGGTCTGGTTTTGTTGAGGACCCCTCTAGAGTGCAGACAGTTGACTTCTTGCATGCTCACGTGGCAGGAAGAGAGTGCACTTGCTGTCTGGCCCCCTTGTATAAGGGCACTAAGCCTGTTCATGGGGGTCCACCCTCATGACATAATTAATTCCCAGCAACCCTCCTCTCATACCATGAGGTTAGGATTCAACAGAGGGATTTCAAGAGACACAAACATTTAGTCCATGATGCCTATCTACTGCGTTTCTCCCTCTTGTTTCCTAAGTTTCTCTCATACTTTTCTAAGATAAAAAATTAACATCCCCAAACTAACATCTCCCTTTGTAAAATATCAAAAGAACTTTGTGTCTCAGCTCAAGTAGACGTTGGTGGGAAGGGTCCCAGGTCCTATTCCTCAGTTGAATGGGCAACACACAAACATGGGACCCCGTGCTCTGAGTGTTTTCACATCCATACTCTGTGCTGCACATTTGGGCATGCATTATCACATTTAATTCTCAGCAATAGTTGAAAAGCTAATGCTATTACTCCAAATTTAAAGACGAGAGAAGCTCACAGAGGTTAAGAAACTTGCTGAAGGTTAAGGAACTTGCTTGAGTCAGCAGGTCAGTAGAAAATCTTGGATTCAGGCAGGGACTGGCTGACTCCTGGGCAGAGGGACGTTCATGAGGCGTGACACATTGGTGCTGTGTGATAGCCCAGCACAATGCTGCCGCAATAACATCAGTTACATTTGTCAGCTGGCCTCTGCCTACCTGTTGAAATCAGTACCACACAGAGGGAGAGCAGCAGTGTGATGCTATATGGAATATACCAAATCAGAGCATATTAGATGAATCCTTTTCCCCCTAGGTCACTGCATAAGGCTCACATAAAGTACTTACTGAAAAAACAAAACTCTGGCCCAGCCCTATTGGTTATGTTCACCCTGGGCCCCAGGTGATTCAAACCACAGGTGGCCAGGGGCACGCAGGTGAATGAGGTCTGTCACCTGGGGGTATACAGGCTCTGTTCACAAAACTGTGATGGAATTATTACACCATACTTGACTGCAGTCTGGGTTCCCCTTAATCTCGTTCATCTAGGGCAAAGGTCACATGGATTGTTAGCATCTGTGTTCAGGAGCATGCTTGCATTTCCTGAGGTCCTCAGACCATCTGTCTCAGAAGAGGACATTAAGAAAAAGTCATAGGGACTCTGGAACCTTCATGGATCTACTGATTTGTGGGCTTTATGCTCAGGAACTTGCATTTTTAACATGCCTTTGACTATTATGCACAATTAGCACTACACACACACACACACACACACACCCCAAGAAAAGATTCAGAAATAGTTCTTTCTATTGTGCTTCTGAAATTAGTCTGTTTGAATGGTAAATAAATGTTAAAAAATGACCAAAAGGCATCTCCAGGCATTGTTTCATTTACATTTCTCAGCTTGGCTCTGCCTACCTGCTCAGATCGATGCCACCAAGAGGATGGCAATGATAATGATATGAGAAATGCCCCAAATCGGAGCATATTAGATTAATGCCTTTCCCCTCAGGCCAATGAAATGTACATTTCCTAGTTGTTTCCCTCTATAGGCTTTCAAAGGAGGTAGTGGGACTGAGGTCCTAGGAGATTGCAATTGATTGAAACCGTAAGAACATTGGAGCATAAGGGCTAGAATTAATTAGCATGCTTAAAACAGCAGCACAAGGCCCTTGAATTTTTGGAACATATGAATGGTAACTGTTGATTTCTCAACCCAAAGCAGAACATCTGTTCTTTTGCAGAGAGTCTAGTGAAGACTGAGACGCAGAGTCAGGTGGGGGTAGAGCTGCTAGGGAATGCAGTGCATATCATAGCTATCCATTTGGATTTATTATTAGACAGCACCCAGTGTAACTGCTTTCTTGAGAATTTTTAGATGTCTAACACATGCCCTGTATATCGTGCCTAATGCTCTGTAATGTTATTCCAATCAGAAATACAAATGAAAAGCATCCATAAAATGTAAGAAACTGTATTCTGAAAATTCCCACTAAGTCATAGCCTTTGTTCTCTTTCCTGGGTGTATGTTTGGATAATAAAGAATGAAGATGAAGCAGAGGAAATGAACCAATCTAGACTGACTTGTTTCTTAGAAAGTAAGTATCTAAAATAACCAATAAGATAAAGGCAAAGTTAAAACTTAAAAAAATGAACAGAATTATTAGGCATAGATACTCATCTAATATATAATCACACATAAAGTATTATAATTTTTATTATTCATTCATTTTAATATTAATTCAAGGAGTCTGAGAGACATTGGATGTCATCCCAGCATTGTCAAGTTCTTATTCCGTGTTCTTTGGAAAATTGTTCAAATTTGTATGTGAAGAGAATTTGGGTAAGACAGAGATAATAATTCCTTCTTCATGGGGCTCTTGTAAGGATGAAAATAAAAGGATGTGTGCAAGGCCCTAGCGAAGTGCCTGACCAGAAGATTTTTAAAATACTAGCTGCATCTTTGCTTCCTCCTCATGTATCTGTTAAGTGCTGCGAGCTGAAATTTCCATGTCCAGATTCATAGAATTGGATTATTTAGTTACTGCTTCGCTACGTTACTGAAAGTGAATGGCTGGCTGCATTTTCTGTCTGAGCCTCTGTGGACAAGTATGCTTTCTTTTCCTAGGCGGAAGTAGGTGGAGCTTGGTTCAGTTGGAGGGAGGAGAAAGTTGATGCTTGCAAGGCAGATTCGTTTTCAGTTTTATAAAACAAATTAGTTACGTTTTTGCTTCCATTGTGATAGAAATAAAAAAATCAAAACATTGTGGCATTTGCTTTCGTTTTGTTTTCTGCCTCATTCTTTGTCACCTGCAGCTCCCTTCGCAGCGTGCAAGGCAGGAGTGGACTTAGGAACGGGGAGAACGTCCCGGAAGCAGGTGCTCACTTAGGCATCTGCTCCTTAGGTCTTAGGTCCCTCCTGTTTTTCTGTTCAAAGGCTGGTGTGTTGATGCGTTTTAAAAACAGGAAGCTTTACGATGCTTTCCCATTTGTATTTTCAACTTTTATAAACTATAGAATTTGTTGTAAGGTATAAAGGGGTTTACGAGTGGGAAAAGAGAGATCAACACACAGATTTAGGTCCCTGGAGTCATTAGGAACGAGGCTTTTGCCAGTTTATACTTTAATGGCTTGATTTCTAGAGTTGCGTTTTGTTGGCTTGTTGGTGAGTAATAAACTGTGTCGTGGATGTGTAGCTAGCATGTCTGACTTCTCTAATGGGATCCCAAATTATGTCTTTTATTAATTAATTAGTGAACAGCTAATGGTTTTGTTTCTGGAGTCTCCTTTAGTGATGGGTACCATCTCTGTGACAGGGAAAGCCTGTTGGAGTTCAGATTTTGTCTGGGAATTTTTCATTACATTTTTCTTGGCCACTTTGTCCGCATGGCTACAAATCAGAATTCCTGTGTACCAGAAAGAGAGGTGAGGAAATCGAAAATCAACTCGAAGCATTGCATATTTTCAACTTTCAAAATGGATTCTCAAAACATTATTGCAAGCATCCCTTATACCTTTTTAAAATCAGTTAGGAGAGGGCTAACATGTTAATGAAACAAAATGGTACAATTTAGCTGTAGACTTTTGTCCCTTTCTCCCTTATTTTCCCTCTAAAAAGGTGTGGAATAGAGGTACCAGGACACTAAGTGATAATATTGGGATTAAGTGACAGATATGAAATTAACACTAGCATGAGGAATTGACACAGTTGCTTCCCATTAGACTGTAATATCTCCATTGAGATATGGAAATGATCAAATCTGGGGTTTTCTGTTGTATTTTTTTTTCAGAAAGCCTAGATTTTGATTAAGCCTGTCCTAGTTATTAGTGACACTGTTGTGAATACAGTGCTAATATTAGACTCAGAAATTGTAAAGAAAGATTAAAATTTAAAAAAGAAATTCAGATTGCCTGAATCAGCCCAGATGACCAGGCCATAGAAACAGATCTACTCTCTCGGTCCTGTTCCTGTTCCGCCTTTGTGTGAGGCCTATCATCCTCTCTCTGTAGATTTTTTTTTTTTTTTTAGTCAGACCCAGAAGGACAACATGCAGGTGTCTCAAGTGTCCCCCCCACATCCTCAAAAGAAAATTTCAGGCAGATTTCGTTAGGAAATGGTATTCATTGCTGAACTGCAAATTAGATTGCAAGTGCTTTGGGCATTCTTGGTAAATTATATAGCTAAAACCTGGAGCTATACTAAACCCTTTGAATTTAATTTGACTGCTGGCAGCCATCAGTGGTTAAAAGATTCTGGAAAACCTGAGTGCTAATGCCTGAACGTGCTGGTAGGGTATGCTGTAGAAAAGACAGGTGGCTCAGGAAGCCAAATAAAACACAGGCCTTTCACAGACGATTCAAAAGCTAATACAATAAAAGTGAATATACTGCATAATATCACAAGTAGTGCTAATGTAATCAAGGCACACACAGACTTCCAAGGTGCAAGTTCATTTCCCACCTTCTGAGTTATTACCAGTACAGTTTACCTCTCTGCTCTGCAGTCTTCACTCAGAGAACGTTTGCCTGCATTGGTGGCCTATGTCCTTTTGCATGCTAACACAATATTCTGTTCTAACCTGACCATTATAGACTAGCAACTGTCTGCTGCTCTCTTTCTTGCTAATGCAATTCCAGTGAGCAAGGAACCCAATGTTTGTCTTTAACAGTCCTAAGCATTTTTCATATGAAATTCAGCGAAACTATTTCCTAGTCTAAGTGCCTGTTCAGTTTCTTACCTTTCAGCAGGAATGAAGTTTTCCTTCCTGTGAAAATACTTAAAAGCAAGCAATCGAAGGAAGCAGGGAGAGAGGGAGTGGCTGAGGGCGGAAGAGGGTGAACCATGCTGTTTGGCACAGTCAGCTAATTGTTTCAGCCTTTGTTTTTCTGCTCCCCTTGAAGACGAGCTGTATTTTAATTACCGCATGAAAGATTTGCCTTGATTAGATGGCTAGGAGGTGTCAGTGCTTCTGAAAGAGATGGAAATGCATAGAGGAGAGGAAAGAGGCAGGCAAAGGGGACTGATCTTGGAAACTTTCTAGGCTTCTACTGTCCTCCCTGTCCCCTGCTACCACTCCCCACTTCCGTGAGGCTCCATTTCAGGTGCAAAAGGAGGTTTGGGATGTTGCATGACAGTGATCTGAAATAGACTCCTCTGCCTGGGATGAGGAATGCGTGGGTGAAAACCCTGCTGAATTATGCCTTGAAAGAAATTAGGCAAAACCTCTCTGTCCCAGCGCTATGAGGAATAACTACCGTGCAGTGCTGCCTGGGCTTTCTGCTCTACTTCCTGAGATTGAAAAAGTGACATAGTTTGCCAGCCAAGTCTAGACACGGGGAGGTGATGCAAGTATAAGATACGTAAGGCTGAGACTCTCTGTATTCACACTGCTTACCCTTGGTGGAGGAGCAGAGGCGCTCCTGGAACACAGGGAGTGGGTGCCTGCCCAAGGTCGCTGGCTGGACATTAGTTGCAAAGGCTTCAAGGAAGGCCATGATTGTGCGTTCTTGAGGGATGAGTGAAGGGGAAAGGGCCACCGTACATAATTAGGATAAAGACAAAGCTATTTACAAGCTTTATCAAGTAGGTGACCACTGGTTACGTTAGTGAAAGCAAGTGAAGCTGGCGGAGGGTGGTAGAAGCCAGGTTTTCCAGCACGCAGGAGAGCAGCGATACTTCTTTACATTTTTCCTTTGAGAAGTTTACTTGTGGAGGCGAGGAGGAAGATAGATTCCTAATTAGAATGTTTCAGTCTGGGCATGCATGTAAAGCAAGATGAAAAGTTGGCATTTGGGTATCCCAAGCCCCAAAGTATTGCTGTTAAAGAAAAACCAGACTCCATTTGGCTTTCGTTTTTCAAATGGTTAACACAATTACATGAAATCAAAAGATCGCTGCTTGATTTCCAGTTTTTCTTTGCCTCGGCAACACAGGCTTTAGAAGGGGGAAATAATCCTCATAGGAATCCATGAAATTATCTTTCCTTTACTCTGGATATATTTGCAAATTTCTTAAAAGAGCAGAGATAAAGGACTTAGTTTAGTTCAATGTATTGGTTTAAATAAGTGTATGCGATATAAATTAGTTTGGCTTCATATAACAGCTAGAGAAGCAGTGAATGTTATTTAAGGTAACGTTTAGTTTAAATAGTTTCTTTTAGACTGGGAAAACACATTTGATTGATTCATTCTTTAAATGATAATTTCTAACTTCTTTATAAAAGTCAGTAGGGACCTACAAACTGTATTTTTAATTTTTTTTTTCTTTTTCTTTAACTTTGTAACATTCTCAGTACTCCGTGAAATGACTTTATATGCATTGTTATGTCAGGGGCATTAACATGGCTACCCATTCCTGCATACCTTTGCACATGACTGAGGAAAAACAACCAGAAGTCAATTTTTGGAACAAAGTGGAGAAAGTACGTGGGGAGACTTGGATGTCTGTGTATGAGAGTCAGCCTTGAGATGGACACTGAATTCAGGTTGATTCTGGGATAAATATATGTGTTCCTTTTGAAATTAAAGCTTTTGATGTCTGGGATTACTGCCAGCAAGTTGAAATGAGGTAAAAAAGTAAGAAAAGTGTTAAATAAAGAAAAAGATTGTTGCCAATTCTGGAAGAATTTGTGTCACAAAATAGCATCATTTTTTATCATAGAAGGCATAATTTTCTCTAGCATTACCACTAGAATTTGTTTTACTTAAAGTAAGCAATTATTGAATGTGTGATGAGCCTGTGGTCTATATATGGTACCTTCATTCGTATTTCAGTGGTTGATTTTTTTTCCTCAATCTCACTTTTCAAAAATTTTAGTTTTGGAAAAGAACAGGGGACATTTTGAAGTCCTAAAAGATCAATAGATGTTGGACCTTAATTTGATGGGTTGCACTGATACTGTGATAAGTCTGATTGGATTGTTTCTGGGTAGGAAATATGCATTTATTTTTTAAAAAACAAAGTTTGGGGAAAAATTACCCTCAAATCTGGAAGCGAATGTCAGAAATCTTAGTGCAATGTGTTAGTATATTGTTTGTCTCTCCTAGAGCTTGATGTGGAGAGATACTAAAAAAGTGAGTGTTT